TCAAAGGTGTTTTGTTAACAAATGACTTTACTAATCTAGTATATCACTGCTTAAGAAGGAATATTTCTTTTTGCTTAATTGTAAAAATTTTCAATTTTTATTTCAAATTTGTTTACATCTTTAACAATAGGTTTTATTTTTATGAAAAATGTAAAATCTTTGTAAATATACTGTTATTAGCTTTCATTTAATCAAGAATTCTTCTTAACTCTAACTTAACCTAGACTAGGTAGCAATTACTTGCTTTCTTTTCCAACAAGCAGTAGACACTAATGCACAGCACGCGTTATAACCGTCAAACGGCCAAAACAGAACATACATAAATATCACTGCTATGTAGTTCAAATAATGGCATTTGTAGTTTGTCTACAAAAATTGTTTGTTTGCAGTTTTTCTTTCTCTTTTTTTTTTTGTTTTGTTTTTTTAGTTTGCATTAAAATCCGGAGCCTAAATCATAAAGAAACCTAAACAGCACAACAATACAATCTAACTTGGCGTTTATTACATGAATTTATAATGAGAGAATTGTATGCGCTGCAGTTTGAATTCGCAAACATGACAGAACAAATGACCTTTTAGATGCATTTGGAATAGAAAATAATATTATAGTGTACGTCTAATACTACTATGGTTTTGCCAAATTGAAATCAACTTCTTTATAAAGAAAACAAATAAGGAAATTATATATTCTCGGCTTTGGCCGAATTCTTTACACCCACTCAAGCTCACTCAAACAAAAAAATTAGTAGAATATAAAATTTCGATTCTCTATAACATTAAAAAGGCGTAGACGATGTTTGCTCTATTTTTGCAGACTTACCGTGGGACCGCCAAGGGCAATCTACTCCTTTCGTTTTATTTATCTATACAGCTACAAACAATTATCTCCCCGTCCGTCTCAGTTTGATGTTGTTCGACTTGTTCTCATTGCAAGTTATTGATAAAAATATTATGAAATATTTGGATTTTTTGGCTAATCGATGCGGTTTTATAGTCAGATCACAAATTCAAAAATACGATAGTTCCATGTTATAAAAATTAATTTTTGAATTTTCACTGGTGTAAAGATGTCAATAATCAATAAATGACGACGACGAGACAAGACTGAATTTTCCAGAATCCTCCTCCTTAAAACTACGTGAATAGTGTTGTCAATTATTTTAGTGTTATAAAGACACATAGCTAACACTATATCGTACTGGCTTATACTGGTACTTCTTCATGTCAAAGCCTTATCTTTAAAGCGTTCACGGTAAAATAAAGTTTTTTAAGCTCTGAACTTCTACTTTTTATATTGACAAAACGAAATTACTCATATTTAATTCTGCCAGCGGAACCTGGAGAATAATTGAAAGACAATAAACCCTAGTATCCATGGGGTTTGTATTTGAAATGATCATCCGGATTCAGTACAGAATGGTATTACAAGCTGTTTCACTCCAATGAAATCAGCTCATTATATTACCAGTAACCAGTAATGCATTTGCACTGATCGGTAGTTCAAAAAATCAGTAAAATTATGTCCGTCTATGACCGAATTTATCACATGTACTATAGGATCGCCTATAGACCACACAGGGAAATATTTAACGTTCCATCTGTTTCATCTTATGAGCAATGCGTAAACAAACCAATTTCTTTAGCCTTTAAAATAGGGGTTTTTCCACTTTCGGCGTTTTCCTTTGGCACCCTTCATTCATTTTCAATACCTACAAGAAAGAACTTTCAATGTTTCTACAAAATTTTATGCTGATGTTTTAACAGGGAGAATATTTACTGTAGAGAGACGAAAATGGATGGATGGTTATATCTAGATGAATGCAGCATTTAAGACTGAACAAGAATATAATTACTTTATAGGATTCGTGAAGTCTCTTTCTGAATGCTGCCAACCTTTTGACAAACTGAATGCATCTCTAACTTTAGATGGTGAAAACAAAACATTAGTTACAAAAATTTAAGGCGGATTTCATATTTTTTCTTTTTTTTTACTTCGATATGGACGTTGAAGTGAAACCTCCTGAAGACAACTTACTTGCTGAACTTTATCAATTCTTGACATGCAAAAATATGTATAAGAAAGGAGAAATATTAGCATTAACTACACCAAGAACAACGAGCGTCTAACCTAACTCTGGCGGCCTGTGCTTTGCCAGCCACAGACCACAAAGTTCACCAAAGTTTATATTAAGTTCGTTAATCTATGCAATTTCATAATTCTAGTTTTCGTTTCAATCTTCATAAAATATGTATAATTTGCAACCCATTACCTTATCTTATTTCAGTGAACAAGTTTGCATTGCTGCTATTAACACATTTCTGCATTGATAAGATGCTAATAAATTAAACTTTTAATATTTTCCATTTAAATATAGAAAAAAACTACCCCAATTAATTAATTCATTATTATTTGATATTCTTGTTTTTAGATTTTAAGATTTTTTGATGCCTTTTGCATGTCCGGTTCTTTTTTAGTGTTGGAAAACGACTAAAATTTATTTACTATATAACTGTAAAAAAACCACTATAAAAAAGAAGAAGCATGAAAACGAAGACTAAGTAAGAAAAAATAAAACGTACATTTTCATTTGCAGTAAATTTTGAAAGAAAGCTAACTGATTCATTAAATTATCAAAAGTGGACAATACATTAAATAAAAACATCAAGAAAATAGTACGATTCCGTTGTTGCAGTTAACCAATCACCCCAAGGCAGTTAATAATTTATAACAGATAACTAGTAGCTTAATAAGAAAGAAATATCAGCTTCAAGGGCAAAAATGTCAGTTTAGTATTAAGAACAGTTACGAAAATTTGTAAAAATTTGAAGGATTTGTCGTAATGCAGTTTCCTTTTTTGTTAGGAAAAATAAAGAAGGAGCCTTACATGCAAAAATAAAAATTTATTTATTTTTACCACATGCAAGTATGCAACTCCTTGATTGTATTACATTTTCTCACATTTTGACTTTTGCAATGGTTCTTAATGGTTCTTAACTTGGAGAGGGTCATTTTTGAACTACTTATTTAAGTAATTTCATATTTACTAGTCACATTAAAAAATTTATGTTTTAACCTAAAGAAGCCTGGAGAAAAAAAATTATGCAAATTTACTTAAATCATACCGCATTTGCTTACTTTAACATAATTCATTAAAGCATAGCTGGTTTCGGCATTGTCCTGAGTTTCAATAAATAGCAGCTTATAACGGAGCAATGCATCCACAATACCCCGATCATACCAAGAAGCCACCACCGACTCCAAATACAAGTAAGAAGTGAAAAAGCAAACAACCCCATCGGGAACTGTTTTTGCAGTTTCTACTAAAAGTTGCTCATAATTTTGTATAACGGCAGTATCTCATATTGCTTTCCGCTTAGAGAATACCATTGCTCGTGAGTTTCCCCCAGTAAAACCCTTTCAGGTATCTTAATTTCACACCAAGCGATTAATTCATCCATCTTACAATTGCATTCGTCATATACTTCAACATAAACTGAATTGACGCCTGCTGGAAGTTGGCTTTGAATAACGCGATTCCAGCGAGGATTTTTGCCACCGTTAGGATCCGTTTGGATTTCGTAAATATAGTGACCAACACGTATGCGCACATATGGGTCCATCCTCGTAATTCCATGTACTTAAAAGCCGAAAGAAAAGTAATAAAAAATTCTAATTTGTAAATATATATTTAATTTATTGATTAATTGAATTTATACCAATTTTAGAATGCACCTAAATATGCTGTGTGTATAATATTCACTCCAAGTTTGCGGAATTGAATATATCGCCTACAAATTCGGAAAAGAATTCGGGAGGGATCTAAGCTTTACACAGGACCCGCCCACACGTCTATGGGACAAGGACTTTTATGTTGAAAATAAAAAAAATCAGCTGCGCCCACTCAAATTCCGAAAATACAAATTCCATACAATTAAGAATGTTTGAATAAATTTGTTTACATGTATTGTGCCGATTTAGAGAATAAGCGTATACAATTATCAAGAATTTTGCATGTATTGTGGGACTTTAGAGAATAAACGCATATTCGTTCTCAATCATGCAACAGGTCTTTGTAAAAAAGCAACAAATTCAAACAATCTGAGAAAATGCAAATTCCATACAATTGAGAATGTTTGAATAAATTTCTTTACATCTTGAGAATATATATTGCATGTATTCTCTTTTGTTCCCCTAGATCCAGTAGTTGTTAGATTGGGAATATCCTCCCATTCTTTACTAAATCATGACTTCCATGCTCTCTAATGGTATGTGTGACAATTTGTTAATAGGCTTTTAAGCGGTCTAAAATGAATTAAAAAATAATTTAAATTTGGAACGTTTTTTGTTTATTATTATTGTTATTATTATTATATTTCGTTTGGACACAGTAATTTAGATTTCGGTTTCTTGCTATATTAGAATAAATTTTATAGTTAAACACCATGATTTATAGATGAAAAGTAGATTTTTTGCTTGAATATCTAATTATTATTCTTCTTATGACGAGTGAAAAGCTTATACTAAACACTCGTTTGCCAGATAAAACTTTAAATTGTATGTTAAATTTTTTTTATTTTTAATTAATTTTTTTTTTTTACTGCTGGCGAATTTTTTTAGAGACCCATCAGATGCTTTGCTGCTGCTACGCAAATGCCAGCGAGGTTACCTTCAGTTTACTACTTGATGTGTTATATGATTTGAGTTTCACTTAAAAATTATTTAAAACGTAAAAAGTAAAAAATAAATCATACAAAATTTATAGCTAATAAGAATTCAAGCTAAACTAAAAACAAAAAATAAAATAAAAAACTGCCTTACCTTACCATTACAGCTAAGCAGTATTTCCTTTTACTTGACAAGTGTGTGTTTTTGTGTATGTGTGTGTGTGTGTGTGTGTGACAGATTTATGTGCGATGTGTTATTTTATTGTTTAATGCTTACAATTTATAACAAATTAAATAAATAAAAATTTAAATTGCTTTCTATCTTACTTTTCAAAACTTTACACTTAAAAAATATCTCTAAAAAAAAACAAAAAATAAAAAAATTTAAAAAAAATAAAAATTTTAAATAACCATACAAACTAATATTGTCACTTGGCTCGCTTGCTTCTCAATGGCTTATAAGCAAAAATTATAAAACCATGCAAACGTAAAGAAATAAGATTAATTTAGTTAACTCGTACTCGTATTATTATTGGCCGTAATTAAACGTATATGATAATCGTGATTGTGACAATGCTGAAGGTTTAAACGGCATTCGAGAACCGCTTAAGCATAATTTTATGCTTAAAAGCAGAGTCAGCAGCAACTGTAGTATCTTTGGAAATGTCTCTATATTGCAGCTTGTATGGCCATTGGGAGCCCATCGTCACCTGTTATGGGCGTGACCGGTTGTATGGGCCTTGGCCTGTTTGCTATTGGCATGAGTAGTGGAGGTAGGTTGTGAACCCGAGGAATGACTATGACTAGTTGCGTTATTAGTAGTTGACGATGATGAACACGTTGATGATGAGGGAATGTGATGATGTTCGAAACGTTCTCTTTCACGTTGCGTTTGCTGATGATGATGATGATGATGATGCCGTCTGCCACCCTTGAAATAACGTCGATTATGATGATAATTGTTATTTGTCGGATCATTGGCGATGCGTTGTGTTTGTTGCACAATCGGTGCAAAATTAGTCGAATTGCTTCCACCCATGTCGCTTCCGTCCTTTGGTTATAATAATGAAAAGGTAAAATTTGAAGAAGAAAAGGAAAGGCGTGAACATGTATATAAAAACATGTGATGACCTAGTTTCAGTATTTATTGATATATATATATATGTATATATATGACATTTACCTTTTGCTGTTCGGCTAACGACCCAGTTTCGGTTGAATTAACGTCGCTGTCACAAATTTCAGCTCCTCCCAGGGAATTGGTTTGCAATGATTCTTCTTGTTGTTTACGTTGTAAGCGACGACGTATGTCCTCTTCACTTTCGATTGAAATGACCGCACCACTTTCCGCCTCAATGTCAATGATTGCACCACGGCTTTTTTGCTGCAAGAACAAGGCTGACATACGTTGCTGTAGTTGCCTTAATTCTTGGGTAGGTCGAAAATCGGGAGCATTCTCTAGCTCCGATGGCGGCATAGCACACCTTAAACTATCACTGTCGTCCTTTATAGGCTCCCGACACACTGGGCACAAAGCCTGGAAAGGCTCAGCTGTCTTTTGCTGCCATGCAGGCAGTTTATTAAATTCTTCCTGATAATTGCGACGCATGGCATTCAAATGACGGCCTAAGCAATAACTATGCAAGTAATGAAAGCATTCAGTTCGTGTAAATTCATCGCCATCACAGAAACCATATAAACACACTACACACTGACCGCTAGGCAGATTGCTGCCAGATAAATGCTCTCGTACAACTTCTATTAAATCAAATACCACTGGAAAACCTAGAGAATCTTGAAGCTTCGTGTCACAAGCTGCCTTAATTGAGGCCAAACGATGGTCGTCTAAACCACGAGGTCGTAAGAGTTTAAAATCTGGACTAACATCTGGATAACCAGGACTAAACAAAACTTGTAGCGTAACGCAAACGTATTGCTGCTCGGTATCCTCACCAACCAAAGGGAAAACAGTGGTTTCTATAAACTGAGGAATACTAAAGAATAATAATTTTGATATTAGTTAGAAAAAGTTGAAATAAATAAACCAAATGTAATAAACACCTTTCTTCGTTACGTTCTACGCGCACATCTTCCATAAGTATGGCTTCTAAAGATTCGACTTCATCCAATAGTCTGGAAAAATAGATTGAGAGCATTTTTTGTTTTCACACTAACTTAAGACTGCTTGACAAGACTTACGCATCCATTATTACTTTTGAAGTTAAGATTCGCTGAAAATTTTTATTTACTAAAATTTATTATCAATTTTTTGATAATCTTCTCGTCGAAAAAACTCTACTTTTTCATATCAAGTGCACGAAATGCATTAAAAAATCGATTTTAAACTCCTTCCCTTTTGAGTGTAGTGAAAAATTTCAGTTAATTGTCAAAGAAAAATGTCACGTTAGCCACATTCACTTTTCTTATCTAATTCGTAAACAATTGTTAAAAACTTTGTTTAGTTGAATGTTGGAAAACTGCTCTTTTTCAGATATATCGAAAAGCTAAAAGGTGGGCTACGCAGAATTTATTTCGTATAAGGAGAACTGCCAGCATAAAGAAATTTACTATAAAAGTTCGTTACTTTAAAAGTATATAAATATCACTAAATAGAACCATCCCTTTTGAGTTGTAATTTTTAATTATGTGCCATTCAGCTTTTACTTAATCAAAGTAACGATTATGTAATTTCTTTTCAGCCACTTTCCCTTCGAGGAGGAAGAAAAATTAATCTCTTTTCTTTGCATTATGTATCGCTATCGTTATATAAATGTGAAGATTTCGATAAAGTAAAAAATGAACTCGAAAAGTATTAGTTTAAAGTTGCCGAGAAAGGCTTGGATGTAGCTTGGATCATTTCAAACGAAGTATAAAATTGACAAAGATGTATTGCGTGAAGAGTTGAGCTTCGTGGACGTTTACTATAGCGCCAATTACATCCATTATATGTGATAGCATACATAGACACCTAGTCCATAAATGAAATTGAAACTTTAGTCGCGATGCGTTTGTCAGCGTATGCAACTGTCGTGAGAATTGCAGCGCTGGCTTCCAGGTGGGTGCTTTCCACTTGAAACCTGTCCTGCGCCTGGGACTTGTCTGTCCGTCTGCCGTCGATAATCACTCTTCCGTTCCGTTCTCTACTGTGGATAACTGCAGTGCCCCTTGCGTGGTCAAAAATGGCATTTTCAGCCCACAAATCACATTCAAAAGTAATTTTTTTGGTATGTGAAGGGCTTTTAGAAATAATAGGCGTATTTTTCTTATGTCAATGAGACAATATTCTTTATTTGCGAAGCTATTTAAACAAAATTGAGGTTTATCTCACCGTAATGAAATGGGGCACGAATCCGTTCATTTTTATGCTCTGCATCACTTGTGTCACAAAGTTATGTTAAAATCTATGCAACAATCACAAGGACTTGAGGTAGATTCAATCGTTAGAATAACTTTTTGAAGCGATCAAAGTTTGTGTGGCCGTCTTTCCGTCTTGTTCACCCTAAAGGTAGCAAATTTTCAAAATATTTCGATGAAATTTGTTACACCGGGGACGAAAGCTCCTGAGAATCTATTTTGAAAAGTCTTTATTAAGCCAAATGGAGTAGGATACTTAGTGTTGCGCCATGTGCCACTATAGTGTTTTGGTACTAAATTTTACCAGCTTCTAGTCATCACCCGACTATGTATTTCTTTATGGTGGTATAGCAAACAGTACCGAGTTCATATGTCAATTTTGACGGGAATATGAGAAAAAATATTGAATAGATTGCGAGACAAATAATTAATTCACAAGCGATTAGCATTAGCATTGAATCATCAATTAAAAGGCCATTGAATTAATTAAATATCGATTTGAAGTTCTTTTACCGACTTTCTATTAGTTGGTCGAGGGAAAAAGAGGAGATTTATCGACTCATTGGATCAAATTTTCCAATGTATCAAAAATTTCTCCATTAGAAATTGATATAGATGTATATATAAATATACAAGTATACAGATTGATCAGAATTGATATATCAACTAAGAATGGATTGAAAAGCTTCTCAATCGAGAATAAATTTAGTTTCAGAGTTCATTGTTTAAAATTAGGAAAAGAGTCCAGTGCCTGCGACAGCGAGTCAATATAAGTAATTGGAGGTCGATGTGTCTATCGGTTGCGACCGATTAAATACTTGTGTATATACATTGGAAAAATAAATAAATAAATAAAGAAAATTATAAAAAAAATGATATAAATTATAAAATAAACTAATACTAAACATCTCTCTTAATATCACTACACAAAAATGATTTAGTCTTCGGTTCAGGATTGCATTTAGTCGTAGATTTTGTCTTAGATTTGCTATTAGATTCCGTCTTAGATTAGATTTACCATTAGGGCTAGTCTCAGATTTAGATTCTGCCTTAGATTTAGTATTAGATTTCGAATTAGGTTTAGTCTTAGATTACGGATTAGATTTGGTCTTAGCTCTAATACTTGATTTCGGAGTCGATTTAGTCTTAAATTTTATCTCAGATTTAGGATTAGATTTGGCAATCGATTTAATCTTAGCTTTCATCTCAGATTTAGGATTAGATTTGGGACACCGATTTAATTCTAGTTTAAGCTTTAGATTTTGGCTAATATTTAGTATTAGATTTACAATTAGATTTAGGATTAGGTTTACGATTCGATTTAGAATTAGATTTAGTCTGCGATTTATTCTTGAAATTAGGATTAGATTTAGTATTAGATTTAGAACTTGATGTAGTCTTAGACTTAGTTTAGGCTTAGATTTAGGAGTAAATTTGAAATTAGGTTTAAGATTAGGATTGAGTTTACAATTAGGTTTAGGATTAGATTTAGGATTAGGGTTACGATTAGACTTAGGATTAGATTTAGTCTTCGATTTACAATTATATTTAGGATTCGGTTTCGATTTAGTCTTAGATTTCTGATTAGATTTGGTCTTGGATTTAGGATTACATTTAGGATTAGATTTAGAGCTAGGTTTACAATCAGATTTAAGATTACACTTTGTTCCTGATTTAGTCGTACCTCTAAGCCTCGATTATCTAAGACTCGATTCAGTTTTAGATTTAGAATTAGATTTAGAACTCGATTTTGTCTTACATTTAGGACTAGAGTTAGCACTCAATTTATTCTTAGATTTAGGCTTAGATTGAAACCTGGATTTAGGGTTAGATTTACTCTTGCATTAGGATTAGGTTTAGTCTTAGATTCAGGATTAGATTTGCAATTTGATTTAGGGTTAGAATTAGAGCTTGATTTAGTCTTAGATCTAGGATCAAAAGTAGGCTTTCATTTAGTCTTAGATATGGGATTAGATTTAGGTATGGAGGTACAATTAGGTTTAATATTAGATTTAGGAATAGATTAAGTATTACCTCTAAAGTTAGATTTAGTACTCGATTTAATCTTAGATTTAGGATCGAATTTAGCACTAAGTTTACAATTAGATTTCGCCTTAAATTCAGTGATAAATTTAGTCTTAGATGTAGGATTAGATTTAAGCTCAGGTTTAGGATTAGATTTAGTCTTAGATTAGGATTAGCGTTGCTATTAGACTGAGGACTAAATTTTGTGATTAGATTTAGGATTACGTTAAGGCTTACCTCTAGGATTTAGGACTCGATTTACTTTTAGATTTTGCCTAAGATTTAGAATTAGGTTTTAACTTAACGGGGGTAGATAAAAAGTTTTTGAAAGCTAATGATTTATGATTACCTATAATTCTTCCTTTATTTATTCACATTTAATGATATGTTTGCTGGCTATTTGTGTTCGCTTCTGCGTCTATTTATCTTATTTTCTTTTCTTACTTTTCTTTTGTCTCTATCATGGACTTTGATATGCACGTGTTTTTCATTGTACTTTGTTTCCCTACATCCTGCTACCAAAAAAAAAAATATATATCTATATATACATCATGTACCGATGTATGTGTGCTTATATGAAACAAAAAAGCTTTGGCTATCACACACATACACACGCACCTTGAAACTTACCCTTTTGCTTATTGTAATGCAATAATAACAAGAACACGAACTTTACGGCGAATTTTCTCAATTCAATGTGAATACGCATCAGTTTATAACGAAAAGTTCTCTGAGCCGGTAGTCGAGCGCAGCAGTGATTAATAATAATAATAATAAATAAAAAAAAAAAAATTAATTAAAATTGAATTTTATTTTGAACAATTTTTCATATAATAATAATAACAACAACAATAACAAGTAGTAAAGTACAAGGAAAAGTATATTTAAGGGAAAGTTTTTAAAATTCTATAAGTGAGTGGGGAAAAAAGAAAATGAAAAAATTTTTAATTTTAAACTAAGAATTCTAATAAAAGCGGAAGAAAATCAAAACTACCCTTAATTTTTCTTGTTTTTTTTTTTTTTTTTTTTTGCTTTTTAAAAGGAGTACTAATAAGCGTGTGGCTGCGTGTGTGAGTGTTTAAATGTGTATTTAAAACATGACTTGACAAGAAAATAATGGAAAGGATTTTCATGAATAAGAAAATAAATAAATAAATAAACAAATAAATAAATAAAATAACTTGAGAAATAAAGCAAAGTCGTTAGCTTGGAATAGTAAAAATAATAATAATAATATTAATAATTATTAATATATATATATTAATATATATATATATATTATATAATATTAATAATAATAATAATAGTAAGCAAAACAAAAGAAGAATAACATAAAATATTAATAAAATTCATGAGTTAGTTGAACGCTTTCCATTAGAAGAGAAATTTGTTTATTTAAAAAATAAATAAATATTAAATAAATATACTTAAGTAAAATAAAACACTTGTTCGGCTCTTTTTACACAAATTGATTTGAAATATAAAAGCGGGTGTGGTGTTAAGAATTGTTTGCATGTGTGTGCTTGCTAGTTTAAACTGAGACTACGTGTAGTTATTGAAAAATTAAAAAAAAAAATTTTTTTTCTTTATTTTTTTAAATATTTAATGTGACGCAAAAAAATGCAGATTTTACAATTGAATGCTAAAGTATGCATAAACACTTAAATATCTTATGCATAAGCAAGTCTATGTGCGCCAGCATTTCTTAAGAGAAATAATATTTTACGGTTGAATTAAAAAAAAAAAATAATAAAATTTTTGCTTTTTTTTTTAAATAATGAAAACATATAAATCAATGTCTTCTTCACATATATCCGTAATAGAAATTTTTGAAATTCTTAACTATGTGTGTGTGTGTGTGTATGTGTGTGCATGTGCATATATACATATATATGAATATCAGACAATGAGTAAAGAAAAATTTCATGAATGATTGAAAGAGCATGGAGACGATGGTGATGGTGGTGATGGTGGCATATATCAATTGTT